ATAGAAACTGGTCAACATTTGGCAGGACTGCACAGGTGGTTCGAAAGCTGAACCTCCACCACCCAGTTACAGCCTAGGACAAGTGAACAGGGCGTGCGGCAGCCGCATGTACACTGTGCCCGGTGCTTGCTGGTGCCGGACCATGACAGTGCTGGCTTTTCTTAACGCGTACTTAGTAGGCCAAGCTATCAATATGTTGGAATCTTCCTTTTCTTTTTCTGGTGTGTGTGTGTGTGTGTGTGTGTGTGTGTGTGTGTGTGTGTGTATGGTGGGGAGTATGCTTTCTTAGACTGGGTCTCACCGTGTTAAGACCCTCCTGCTTCAGCCTCCAGAGTAGTTAGGACTACAGGTGCCCGGCACCGCACCTGCCTGTCTCACGCAGGGGCCGCTGTGTAGCCCATAGTGCTCACAAGCTCACAGTCCTGCTTTAGCTTCCCGAGCCCCTCGGACTAGAGGGGCTCTTTCTTTTCTTCTTTCTCTCCTGCCTACCCCTCCCCCCAAAGGATGTGTGTGCTCACCAGACAGAGAGAGAGGAGAAAGGGAGAAAGCACCTCCTACGAGGAATGGTTACACCGCAATCCTTTCTCCTCCATGCCTCCTTCCTTTGGGAATTTTGAGCACACATGCACATGCACCAAGGATGTTTTTTAAGTCATTGGCTTCAGGATTCAAACCTCATAGTCCGCTACGTGCGATCCAGCTGCCTTAACCACTACACCACAGGTTGGCCTGGGATCTCAAACAGACCTGAGTGATCCTATTGATACAGGAGTTTGGAGGTTCTGCAATCTTTTTTTTTTTTTTTTTTTTTTGGAGAGATTTTTGCTATAGGGCGCGTGCGCTCGCCAGACAGACAGAGACAGACATAGAGACAGAAAGCGAGAAATCACCACCCCACACCCAGTGGGATGGTCACGCCGCAATCCCTTCTCCTCCATTCTCCTCTCGGGATCTTGAGCATGTCCACACACGTGCCCGGCGTGAGTTTTAAGCCACCGGGTCTGGGACGTGAACTGCGGTCGACTATGTGGGAGTCTGGCGACATAGCCATTACACCAACTGCTGGTTCCCGGTAGTTCTGCAATCTAATGATGAAATTGAATCTGGGTGTTGGGAAGGCAGATGTGTTAGAGCAGAGAGACTGAAATAAGGACTTTTTAACAAATGTAGAATAATTAACAAAATTTTAAAAATATTCCTTGGGCCAGTTTCTAGAAAACAGCTGCTATCTACTACTGTAAGACCAGTCAGTGACTTGACAGAGGTGGAGAGAAAGTTCTGCAATCTAATGATGAAATCGAATCTGGGTGTTGGGAAGGCAGATGTGTTAGAGCAGAGAGACTGAAATAAGGACTTTTTAACAAATGTAGAATAATTAACAAAATTTTAAAAATATTCCTTGGGCCAGTTTCTAGAAAACAGCTGCTATCTACTACTGTAAGACCAGTCAGTGACTTGACAGAGGTGGAGAGAAACCACTGAGGCAGGGAGGCAGGAAGTCAGAACTCAGAAACCACTTTACTAAGCGATGCTTCTGGAAGGTAAACACGACTGGGGCAGCCAAACACCCATGACGATCTAAAGCAGCAGACAGACTTGAGCTGGGTTTGGACATCTTTCTAGTGGCTGGCTAATCAGGGATCGGGGTGGTGACGAGGAGCTCAGTTTTCCAGTTCAAGAGAAGGAAAGGTGGAATGAGAGATGAGCTAATAATATGCCACAGAAAATGAGATATTATTTCAACAGTCTTTTCGATGTTTGATATCTATGATTCCGTAGCCTATAAGTAAACATAATCTTTCCATTTTACTGTGAAGAGCTCAAGAATGTTGACTTCTTCGACATGTAAAGTGCTTCATACTTTTATTTCTAAAGAAACTGTATTTTAAATGTTTCACTCAGGAATCTGAAGAAGAGATTTGATTTATTAGCAAGATGTGTGGGCAGAAAATCCTTTTTCCATCCACACTTGAGAAAATGCAGAAGTCTATTCATCTGTCACAGGAAAACCTCCCCGAGAAATGCATGTTAGGCTATGATTACTGCCTGGAGTGGGCTTCTTTAAAAATTCCACATGAATTCTCTTCCCTGGCTCTGGAGTGAAAAGTAACTTTGTTATTCAACAGAGAGTGTCTGGGACATGTCACTCTGATGGCAACAGGAAGAAGGCTAGCCTGGTACTGGTCATATGGTTTGGATGTCCAAGTCCATCCTGCTCAGGAAGCCTGCACCCAACCCTGAACCCAGAAAGCATTTTAAAAAGCGACATTTGACAAAAATGCTTATTAAAATGCTTTCGGGGGGGACCAGTAGTTAGCGTAATTGCTATGTCGCTGGACTCCCATGTAGTCGACCGTGGTTCACATCCCAGACCCGGTGGCTTGAAATTCATGCCGGGCGTGTGTGCGTGCATGCCCAAAATCCCAAGAGGAGAATGGAGGAGAAGGGATTGCCGCGTGGCCATCTGACTGCCGCGTTGCCCTTCCCCCCCCCCCGGGGGGGGGTGATTTCTTGCTTTCTATCTCTCTGTTTCTCTCTCTCTGTCTGGAGAACACACGCGCCCTATAGCAAAAACCTCTCCAAAAAAAAAGCCTTCTGGGTTTTTATAAGACAGGATTTATTTGATTATTTATTTAGTTTTTTTGACAATAGAGTCTTGGGATGTCAACATCCTCCTGCCCCAGCCTCACAAGTATCCGGGCTCACAGGTGTGTAACACGCACCTCCGATGGGCTGTGTTCCCCAAGCCAGGCCAGGGCACAACCATGTCTCTCAGCACAGACATATTCTCACACGGTCCCAGATCGACCCTGGTTCATTCTTCAGCTACCACTTCCTGGTTCTGTTCCCTGGATCCAAAGTCTTTCTTCTTTTCTCAGCATCAACTGTCATCTTGTCACTTCTGAATCTTTCTACCTGCTGGGCATGCCCTGTGTTTTCCACTCCTCCCCGTCTCTTGTGTGGGAGCAGCTCTCTTCTTCCCCTGGCGCAGGGGCAGGGTTGAGGCACAGGGCACTCTTCCTTCTCTCTGCACGTGGCTGCCTCTTGTGGGACATTTCTTGTGTTCCTCTGTCGGACCTGCTCATTTGCAACCCACAGAGGGCAGCTTCTCTTTCAGACCGAGGATGAAGAACGGCTTCCCTGCGACCAGCAGTTACTGTAATGGCTATGTTGCTGGACTCCCATGTAGTCGACTGCGGTTCCAGTCCCGGACCTGGTGGCTTAAACTCACGCCAGGCACATGTGCGTGTGTGCCCAAGATCCCGAGAGGAGAACGGAGGAGAAGGGATTGCAGCATGGCCACCCCCCACCAAGGGGTGATTACTCTCGCTTTCTGTCTCTGTCTTTCTGGTGAGCACATGTGCCCTAGAGCAAAAACTTCTCAAAAAAAAAAAAAAAAAAAAGAACAGCTCCCCTAAGAGTCCCAAGGCCTGAGTTGCTAGCTCCTGCTCTATTTTTAGTCCTAGGACCTTCATTTCAATGTACCCTATGAGATTCGATCTACAAGCAGATCCAATCAGGAAATGGCAGGACACAAAGCTTAGAGACATGTCAGGAAAGAGAGGGATGAACCAGTCAAGTGTCCTGCATGGCCACTGCTCATGGCTCCTTACAGCATTTTAATTGGCAGGATTTTGAACCTCATGTAGAGAGAGACCATCTTCATGGATCACTTTGCCCTGAACCTTCATACAGTTGTTACATTTGAAAACTTTCTCCTTAGAATCAGCACCTTAGCTGTTGATACGAAGCGCAAGCTCCCCTCAAAAGATGACCTACTTAGATGAAACCCTCGCTTGTAAACGCCCCATGCTGTAGGAAAGGCAGCGTGGCATCTTCTCAGCTCTGCACTGTGACGTGTCCTAGGTTACCTTGGAAATGAGGCAGAAATCCACAGCGCCTGACCAGCAGAGCAGAATGGAGGCCACAGAAAGCCCAGCCTAATTTATAGAACAAACACTGTTTGATCCTGTACAAGGCAACAGTTGCAAACTCAATAACAATACCAGAAGGAAAATGTATGGTTGTATAATCTTTCTAAAAACAGGTCCGCGGCGTTGTAAAATGCCAGCTATGAATTAAAATTGGACAATGTTCAAATAATGAGGTTTATACTCTAACAGTATTATAGACAGGTGCCTTCAGGAAGTGTAATTCTTCCTTGGCCCTGTATTTTGTGTAGTTCTAACTCCTTGTTCTCATGATTCTGAAGTATTGCAGGATAGGACCCAAGGTTTGTCTCATCGTCACTTTTTAATGTTGACTATGTTTTAATGTTACCTTTGTATTTGAACACTTATCTAACATTCTGCTTATGTTTCACTATAAAATGTTTTACCATCATCCCTCTTTTTTCTTCTTTAAGGTTTCTGCCATCGAGCATGTGTACTTGCCAGCGAGAGACAGAGAAATCACTCTCCAGAGGGATGGCCACGCTGCAATCCCTTCTCCTCCATTCCCCTCCTAGGATTCTGAGCATACACATGTATGTGCCCAGCGTGATTTTTTTTTTTTTGAGAGGTTTTTGCTATAGGGCGCGTGCGCTCGCCAGACAGACAGAGAGAGACATAGAGACAGAAAGCAAGAAATCACCCCCCAGGGGGGATGGTCACGCCGCAATCCCTTCTCCTCCATTCTCCTCTCGGGATCTTGGGCACACACGCACACGCGCCTGGCGTGAGTTTTAAGCCACCAGGTCCGGGACACGAACCACGGTCGACTACGTGGGAGTCCAGCGACATAGCCATTACGCTAACTGCTGGTTCCCCTCCCAGCATGATTTTCAAATTGCCAGGTTAGGAACTTGAACCACGGTCAGCCATGTGGGAGTCCAGTGCCTTAACAGCCACCTGCTGGCCCCTATTTTTTTCAAAGAGGTGCCTGAACCCAGAAAACATTTTAATAAGTGACATTTGACAAAAATGCTTATTAAAATGCTTTCTGGGTTTTTATAAGACAGGGTTTATTTTATTTTTTATTTAGTTTTGTTGACAATAGAGTTTTGCTACGTCACCATCCTCCTGCCCCAGTCTCCCAAGTATCCTGGCTCACAGGTGTGTAACACACAGGCTTTTTTAGAGTCGCGCACTGTCGCCCTCACTGGCCGTGAACTCTTGTCTCTCCCTTTGCAGTCTCCCAAGTTACTGAGACAGCTGTGTCATTGTGCCTGCCTTTGGGTCGGACTAGACTCAAACCTGGGCCTCCCGGCGGTCCTGCCTGGAGCACAGCACCTTAGTAGCATGTACTGTCCCAGCTAAGCCAAGACAGGATTTTAAAAACAGAAAATGAGAACCAGGAGACAAAGGGTGTTTTGGAAGTGAGTCTAGTTTTATGTCCACACACAAACCCTAAAAAAATGAAGCTTAGGTGACAATTTACATTTTGTGTTTTCAGTTAGTTTTTAACAATTATTTCAACCAGAACACCTGAATTGTCTATGGACACCATAGATACAATCAGCTCATTTTCAAAAGTACCTTTTAGCTAATAAAGCAGAAAAGATAACAAAATTGTGTACCCCAAGCCTATTTTAAAGCATGTAGTGAACAAGTCTTTCTTGCACCCTAAACACTGGTCATGCTTGGCCCAGAATTCTTGAATAATGATGATTTGCCTCTGAATTTTACATTGTTCCATTTACACCTACAACAGTCCAGAACCAATCCTAATCCACAACATTTTTCAGGTAATTGACAGTATATTTTTTAAACATTATCTATGTATGACACAGCGATTAAGGCATATTGGGGGAAATGAAAGCTTAACTAGCCTTGCTGAGACATAACTGAGAGTCTGTATGACATAACATGACCATCGAAATGTCTGATAGGGCAGCTCAACTTCTATTAGGTATTTTGAGAAGGTATGCAACACTAAAAGTACTCAGGGTAAAAACAGAATTTGAATTCTTGATTTTTGTTTGGAAAATTTTCATTCTTAGACTATCAGACAAACATGAAAAAATTGCATTAAATTCTTCCACATGTAAGCCATTACTCATCCATTATTTTTGTACTTTACTTTTTTACCAAAAAACGTGTGATGTCTGATCCATGCTTTGATGCTAGAAACTGTCTTCTCACCTGGCTTCTTTCCTGGGCTTGTCTGACAGTTCTCTATAAGGTAAAAAATATGCACACATTAGGAAAAAAGTACTGGCTATAGACACTTTAGGGAAAAAGCACCCCCAAAGTCTTTGAATTGTTAATCTGAAAATCTACATTGTCACTACCCCATGTTCCAGCGCTTGGCCATTAGAGGGTTCCCAAATCACAAGGCAGAGCACCCCAGCAGCTCAGGCAAGTGCCCTGAGGTCCTAGGGTCATGAGAACTAGGTTTGAAGGAGAAAATACACAACTTTAAAGGATGTCTTACTACCCAGTGAAATAATAAATCCCTCATTTGGGGAGTAGGGAAGCCATAATTCTCCTCATCTAAATGGGCACTCAGGAGGCATCTTGGGATTTCTCAGAGTGCTGCATGTGGCAGGCCTGCTAACTTCCTATTCTCTGGGCCCAGAAATCGTTCCCAACTCAACAGACAGGTCAATGTAGAAAAAAAAAAAAATGAGAGACCAGATTGGATTCTCCTGTTAATCATATGATAAAATTTTCATTAGAATCTAAAAATGTATTAACAGTAATAATTCTTTGGCTATTTCTAAATTATCTTACAGGCCTTGAATTTGCTAATAATTTATTCAGCTGAGAAATCAGTTGACCTCATGCCCAACTGAAGTCCACATGCTTATGAGGTGATCTAGGTAGAAAGGATAGGGAGAGAGGTTAAACTAAAAAAGACAAAACCAAAAAACTAGGGTAAAGACCTACCAAACAGAATATTATGCATCCATTTCATTACGAAAATACATTATGAATGGCCGGAGAACATGGAAAAAATACTAATTCTGCCATAGGTGAAAAAGAAAAATTGGATACCAAGTGGCAAGTTAAACATATGCTTCTTTCTAATACTATTTCCACTGGTAGATCCTACTACCTTTTGCTAGACTGCCTATTAAAAAGTCTTCCTGATTGATAAATAATACAGGTGGAGCATCCCTAATTTCCAAATCTAAAATCTGAACTGCTCCAACATCTGAAACTTTTTGAATGTGAACATGATGCCACAAGTGGGAAATTCCACACCTAACCTCATGTGATGGCTCATAGTCAAACCCTGTACTACAAAAATATTGTAGGTGCAACTGCAGTGGCACTGGTGGTGGGACTATATGGGAAGGCCCCAGGTGACCTACACCTTCAGGTGCATCTCTTGGGGTTCCTGTGATCTTGGCTGGCTGGAAGTCTGCAGTACAGGGTGATCACAGTGCGGAGCAGCCCTGTCAGCAGGAGTATCTCTCTCTCCTTTTTCCCTCTCTTGAAAAGTAAATAAACCTAATATATATATATATTACATATATATAAATAAAAAATATACATAAAATTACCTCCAGGCTATGTGTAAAAATATAAATGAATTTAGGGGCCAGCAGTTAGCATAATGGCTATGTTGCTGGACTCCCATGTAGTCGACTGCAGTTCGAGTCCCGGACCAGTGGCTTAAACTCATGCCAGGTGCATATGTGTGTGTGCCCAAGATCCTGAGAGGAGAATGGAGAAGGGATTGTGGC